TCTTAATTTTAGGCTATAATTTCAAATTAATAAGGAACTAACTACATTGCTGTACAAAGTTACAAATAAGGCAGTTTATGCTCTTCTAAGTTTAAACTTCATTTGGGTACCTATCTTCTTTCCTTCATTGGTGAACAGGTTCTTCAATTTGCCAAGTAAGCTAATAGAGTTTGCTTGACTCTTATTCTTTACAACAGTGGAACGGGACTTTCTTTCATATCGTACAACGTAAGCAGACAGAGTTAATTTATATTTATGCATTAATTTTTAATTTTCATGCTTCGTCCTTTGAGAGTATATGCTTGTGATAAGTTTCACCTCAATACTTGTAACTGTGAAGAATAAAGCTAGTCTCACTGAAGATCTAACAAATAAGAGGATATTAATAAACAACGAGATAACAGTAAATAATGCTATAGTTACTTTTGTAAGACAGAGCAAGATTGAATACTTGGACACACTCTCACTCAGCCGACTTGAAACTAATGAAATGAAATGCACACAGAATAGCGCAAAAACAGGGAAGTAGGCAACATCTCAGAGCAAATTTAAGGTGCACTATATGCATTCACGTGATTCATCGATCACGGTAGAATATCTCCACTAAGAAATCTCATTAGGACAAGAATAGTGAGTTATACGTGTTGACGCGCAGCATAGCCTACGCGATGACTTCGTCTTCTGATAGGTCTAGAAGTTAGAATGTCATTGAGCAGTCGGCCGGCTTCCTCAGCCCGCAACCGATTAGCCATATAAGCCACACCTTCCATAATTTCTCGGCCAACTCGAGAAATATGCGTTTCTGGTAGAATAAAGCCAGGGCTGAAACTACAAAGACGTAGAGGATATAATTGTAACAATAAGTAAACCATTTGCACAAACTCTAGTTGAGTTGGTGATAGTTCGAATGTGTAAGAGTATTTAATTCCAATGCTCTTTGCCCAGTCGTCTGCTGCTCCTGATGCTGGATCTGGAAGTGCCATAAGTGAGGACATAACAAATAATTGTTTTTATCACAATTC